CAGCTACTAGCCTCCAGTTTGTGTTACGGGTAAAATGAATGGAGGGGAAATGCTCAGGCCCTGTTCCCATAGCAGCAAAATAGGCTTATGCGCACAGTAGTGAGTCTCTGACGCACTCTTGCCATTTCCTATACATTAGCCTACAAGCTTTTTGTCACGAGTGAACCAGCCATACTACTATATCTTGACATTGGCTTTGTACTGCTTAACTTCTATTATGTCTTGACCTGAATTGAAAATCTGAAGTACTCAAATATTCTGCTCTGCTACACTTAATATATTATCTACTTCAACTTTTATTATGTCTTAGTTGACTAAAACAATGTCCAGGTTGACTGTTATTATGTTCAGGTTGTCTATTATTCATGTTTAGATTGATTATTATTCTTGTCTAGAACGATTTTCATTCATGTATAGATTGATTTTTATTTTGTCTAGATTGATTTTACTCATGTCCAGCTCGATTTATTCTTGTCCAGGTTAATTTATATTCATGTCCAGATCGTTTTATATTCATGTCCAGATCGATCTTTATTCATGTCTAGGTCAATTTATATTCATCTCCAGCTCGATTTTCATTCATCTCCAGCTCGATTCTCATTCATGTCTAGATCGATTTTCATTTATGTTTAGGTCAATTTATATTCATGTCCAGCTCGATTTTCATTCATGTCTAGATCGATTTTCATTCATGTCCAGCTCAATTTTTATTCATGTTCAGCTTGATTTTTATTCATGTCCATATGCAGATATGGCCGAGCGGTCTAAGGCGCCACGTTCAGGTCGTGGTCTCGAAAGAGGCGAGAGTTCGAATCTCTCTGTCTGCATTTTATTTTCAACATGTTGAGTTGCTTTTTAGTAGGTAGGTCTGTTGTCATAGTCATAGTTTTCAAGTAACACATACTTCCTTTTGGGTTCCATTTCCCTTCTTTGATATACTTCTTGCTTGCTGCGGTCTACAGCTACTTTTCCTTTTGTCACACAGTGAACTATTACATCATTGCTTGCTGCACATTTATTCTTTGTCATCATTATTTGTATACTTTTATATTATATTATCATTCATCATTACTGTAGTAGTTTAGAGGAAACATACAAATATCCCCTCTCATCAGAGCATCTGCAACGGGGTTGTTAAAGTCCGTTGTTACGCTAAAACTAACACCATAATTTAGCAACCTATGTCTGCAATGGGAGTTGTTAAATGCATTGTCAAATAAGCACTCTGTCAATTTTTTGACCAAAATCGCTAAATTTAACAACACGCTCTTTTTGCTTTTTTCCTTATCACCTTCCGTCACCATGACCACCACAAACGCTTCTACTACTGCTTCTTCAGCTAATACCATCACTACTACCCAAACTACCACCCCTATTGCTACTGGTCCTCCCACCAGCAATAGTGAACATGGAGAATTGTGGATCACAGAGCATGACGTACATTTGGTGAATGCCTACTTGCAGACAAGCACGAATCCCAGAGACAGGAATGCCATGGGTGAAGACACCCTTTATGACAAGGTGTTGCAATGCTTCATTGAAAATTGCAGCAAGCCTATTAATCGCACTGCAAGCTAGTGTAAAAACCAGTTCGCCGTCATTTCCACCCAGTGCTCATATTTTTCTGCTTGCTATAGGAAAGTCTTGGCCGACAAAAGAAGTGGAGAGAATCTCAAGGACAAGGTACAGTACCTTTGTCACATCCGTAGCTAATTATAAAGCAACTAATATACAGAATTAGATTAACCAAATCAAGGAGCACTACAGCCAAAAACTGCCCAGTAACAGTGGCAAGGTTTTCAATAAGATGGAATGCTGGACCATTTTGAAGGAGGAAACAAAATGGCAACCACGCATTTCCTCACGCAAGGATGAAGCTCTTGAGTCAGGAACTTTTCCTGAATGACCAATTGGTAAGAAGCAAGCCAAGGCCGATACCAAGGGTAAGAAGCGAGCTCCAGACGATGACGACCGTGTCTTGGAGCTTTCATATAAGCAACAAGAACACAACGAAAAGTGGATGAAGTTGTAAGAGAGGGCATTTAAGCTGCAAGAGGTGAACGCCCACACCCAGCGAATCAAGGCAGAATTCGAGATCATGAAGGAGGATCCAGATACCATGTAAGGTATCTGAGCTGAATTCTTGAGTGGTCTGCAGCAAGACATCATGGAAAGATGGCGCAAGGAGCGGTGCGAGCACGAGCAAGAAGCGTCGACAGGCATAGAAAGAGACGTGATAAAGGAGACAGAGGGAGGTGGAGAAGAAGACGAACAGCAGCAGCAGTAGCAATAAACATTAAGTGATTTTTAAATAGGATGGCTGCAGGTAAGTGTGTAATTTATTCATCACTATGGCGATGCCAGATGTGTTCGATGAGGTCGTTTTGGAGTTGGGTGTAGAGTTTTTTGTCTTTAATGTTTTTTTCACGTATGCGTTGGAGCAGTTGCTCCATTTCTCCACCACACATGAGCGAGGGCTCAACAGAAAAAGAGCACTCATCATAATCAACCTCGATACGCCGAGCGTAATTGTCCCGCTCATCTTTGACAATTATGTTATGCATGATTATGCATGCAGTCATGATGTTGGAGAGGTCCTCTACGTGCCATGCGCGTCCGGGTTCACGAATGATCCTGAACCGCTTCTAGAGAACTCCAAAAGCGCACTTGATATCCTTCCAGACTGATTCTTGCCGCTTGGTAAACAATTGAAATGGTATGTTTGATAGTAAGGCTGTTAGTTACATTCTAAAGAAATCACACAGTAAACAGATTACCTTCTTTTTGTTCCTGGGTGGATGGCGATTGGTCTTGACCAGCATTGCCCAGGTAGGGTAGATACCATCAGCTAAATAGTAGCCTATGTTGTTTTCATGATCATTGATGGTATATGCGACATGGGGAGCCCATCCACTTATTACGTCGTCGAAAAGTGGGGATTTGTGTAAGACATTGATATCATTGCACGATCTAGGAATGCCAAAGAACGAATGCCAAATCTATAGGTCGTGGGAGGCAACAGCTTCAAGGATTACACTTGTTCCTTTTTCTTTCCCAGACTTGTATATACTGGCCCATCCGTTAGGGCAATTTTCCCATTGCCAGTGCATGCAATCAAGTGAGCCTAGTATGGAGGACTAATCGGTTTATTACTATATAACTTGCTATCACCAAATTTTTAATTATTAGCTGAATTTTAAAAATCGAAAAAACAAAATTGAATTTTTTTTATAATATAAAAATATAATCATAATAATATTAACTAATAAAAAAAATAGTAATCCTCAACACAGAAATCCTTATATGTAAACAAAGTATGATAAGCTCAATGAAAGATATCATGACTCAAGTTATGGATAAATATTTTGATGATGAAATTCTATGTGATTTGAAAGAAGAAAAACAAAAACTAATGAAAAATATCATAAAGGAAAAATTGGAAGAAACAAAAACAAACAATTTTTGGTATATCAATAGCAGTAATGATATATGTTCATATATTTATAAAAGAGGAAAAAAAGAAGGATATATGTGTCATCGGAAAATAAGAACAAATATTGGTGACAATAAACCTGATTTTCTATGTTCTCAACATAGTAAACTATATGTACCTAAAAAAAAAGAAAAAAAGAGAGAAAACAATCTATAAATATTAAAAAAATTAAAAAAATAAAAATTAAAAAAATATATATATGTAATGGAGGAATATTAGATTTGGCTATGGCGATAAAAAGTTTATTACAATAACAGCTGACGTTATTCATTAACTTTTCAATTATATGCTACATAAAGTAAAAATGATTATGAGGGGAGACTATGTCTTTTTTGGTTTCGAAATTAAAATTATTTCTTTATGAATTAACAAAATCAGAATTAATGAATTTATATATTAAATAATTTATAATTTATTTTGATAATTTTATTGATTATTTTGTTTAATATAATTATGTTTTAAATCTTTAATAAATGTATAAACATGAATTTAAATTTTTATAATGTTTTAAAAATTATATTATAAAATATAGAAGTTAAAATTTAAAATTAAAAAAAATAGTTAACAATTTATATTATAAAGTATAAGTTTTTAATTCTCTTTAAATATGAATATTATATATTTTAATTATAACAAATACTTTAACGTAAAAAAATTATTAGCACAAAATTCAAAAATATTACATTAATATAAATATCTTTAAATTTCTAGAAATCCTTTTGATACCGACTTATCCCCATGCCTAGAAAACCTTGTACTTTACCAAGGGCCAACAATTGCTTAAGGTCTTCTTCGTTGGGAGAACGTAGATATAGTACTCTTCCCTGAAGCATTCGATGACACCTTTACAAAATCGGTACAGGCAGTCTTGAGCTGTACGCTCGCCGATTTTTAAAATACTTGTCGACGGTGTCAGCGGGTGCACCATATACAAGTATGCGCAAAGCTGTAGTACCTTTGACATATGGGTAGAAACCCAATTTTCCAGTTGCATCAGGTTTTTGCTGGAAATACGGATATTTCAATTCTAGTTCGCCAATAATGCACAAAACACTTCACAACGCATCCAGAACCGGCGATGAAAGACCTTCGCATCGTATCTTGGCGTCTCAGCAAAGTAATCCTGTATGAGTATCTGCTCGAGGATAACGATCGCAACGGACGTATTTCCGTTGCTTTGGCGCTTTAGGGACAGCGTCGAGCTTTCTTTTCTTTCGTAGCTGCAAGATGTGTGTCAGTGTCTGTTGCACTTCGCGGCTATTCTTATCCATCTCCTCATCTAGGACGCGATTTTTTTCAAGGAAATCTTCAAGGGAGTCCTAGTCATACCCAGCCGCCGACTTAGATAGTCAGATTTTTACTTGCGGTATTATCGAGGAACAGCTCGACAAGTAACCACAACCGCAACCGCAAGTGCGGTGTCTACATTATACACCTGTGCACGCTTGCTATTTGTGGCAGTTGCCGTCAGTAGTTTATTATCCCTCTCCTCTTATCAAATAATAAAATGCCTGAACTCGGTGAAAAATGCAAAAGAGCTTTTGGAGTAGTCAACAAGTATGGGACGAAAAAGCTTATGCACACGACCTCTTTGATCGGACGTAATGCTTCGAATTCGCGAGCTCAGATTACACCCTCTGACACCAACGAAAATGAATGGGCCAATGTCGTTAAAAGTCCTTTCGTCATGCGTAAAAGGAAGAGAACCGACGAACGTGCCAAGAAATGGGCCGAGCTCTTACCTTTTCTCACTGAGGCGTATATCCAAAACTATGGTGTCCAGGTCCCAGTACCTCAGTCACTAAAGGCCACCGACGACGTTTTCTTGACGTGCGCATGCAAAGAGAAGAAGTCGACCTACGTCACGACTATTTATAAGTGTGGTATGAATAGAAGCAGTTCCTCAACTTTACGAATAAGAAAAGGAAAAACAGTTAGAAAGTAGACCATCAATTGATCAATATATGTGTTAGGGATTCACCCTGACAAGATCACTTACTGCAAGAATTGCCCCGAACATTCGTTGCTAGCTGTCATGATGCGTCGTCATCTCTTTCCTTTGACACCATCCGATCCGCAGCACGCCATTCACATTGAACAAATGCGCAGTTTCCATAACATGCATTACATTTGCCGTGTCTCGATCCATGCAATTGCTGAATGGGCTCGAGCAGAGTATCACTTCAAGGTATGATTAGTTTAATAGATGGAAAGATAAGTAAATAGGATGAACTTAATGTGATTACACACTTTCTATTAGCTCCCGATACCTGCATCGTTCAAGCAACGACTGACGGAAGCTCTCCCAATTTATGGGAGATTAATGCTCAATCTGGAGAAGAAGCATCGAGATCTATGTGACCTGGATGACGCATGTCCTACATACAGATATGCGGTATGTTTCTAATTTATGTGCTGTGAAACAATTATCTATACTAAGGAGTTAAACATGTCGAGCATTTGTTTTAGTCTGGTCCCAAGATCATAGCTGGAGATGGAAACCAGTCGCTACGTCGGTTTGCTAAGACAAAGGATCCAAAGGAAGTCGCCTTTGAAGGCTAAGAGGAAGTCGATCGCCCGTGGGTCAAGCCGGAGCAAGTAATTCAATATGAATGCTCGGTATGAATATTTAGGACATACATGGAGCGTGCATATATATTGAATAACCTTAATTCCCAGGCAACTGACGGATGTGAGACTTGGCAAGCTCTCAACTGGATGAAGAGAGTAAAAACAAGCCATCTGGACCAGACAGGAGCATTCGCGTGTACGTGTGGTCATGGTCATCCAGTGGCCATCATCGATATGAATACGCCAGGCGAACAGTGAGTTTCTCGAAGTATACATTTAATGTATCAGGTCTTACTTTAACCGATGTCAAATGATACTAGATACACGTACATGCTTAGCTGTCTACAGAAGGTGATCGACTTACCCCTTTATGGATCAAACATCCGTATCATGTACGATGTCGGTTGCAAGCTTCGTCTGCTCTGCAGGTAATCTTCGATTCTTAAATACCATATACTGCAAACCTATCAGCGGTTACATATCTCTCTTTTTTTATTTCTTATTACCAGAGAACCGATCGTCTACATAGCTTTAAGGATGTTGACATTGCTGTCAGCATTTTTCATATAACCGGGCACAATCCTGAATGCCAAATTCATTTTCACCCTTGTTTGAGGATCGGCTTTGGGCTGCAAGATGGTGAACATCTAGAGAGACTTTGGTCATTCCTCAACGGATTTGTGTCTATGACACGACATATGTCGTCTCTCAACAGACGACTCACGCTGACGATTGCTCTGAACTTTCACGCCCAACAAAAAGATGACAATCTAGGTATATCAATCGCACCAACATGGCAAATTGCAGCAAATCCACTGAACGTTTGCTCTTATAGGCCAATACATCCGCCGCAGATACGTATGCACACTCAAGCTTAAAGAAGATGCGCTGAAAGCTCTAAGACAGTCGGGCGTTAATGTCAATGATGAAGAAGCGATGAAAGAGATGGAAGAGAAATGGGATAGACACGTCGCCGAATCCAAAAAAAGAAACGTCGAAAAAGATGGCAGCAGCAGATTTGCTCAAACATGCAGAGCTATAGAGAATTTGCGTGTTGCTATTGCTATCTATGATATTATTAATCAAGCTTTCAAACACCAAGGCAATGGTAACATCTTTGATCAGCTCGATCGAGTAAAGACAAACTCATCTGAAATATTGTCTTTGTAGGCCACAACCAGACGCAGAATCTTGCAGGCCAAAGACAAGCAGCGCGAAATCAAATTGAAAAGCGCCTCATAACATACAACACGAAGATCAATGCCGTACCTGTTTTTAGTACGTGTTGTAACCTACCTTGTTGTCCCCAATACATTCGTATCAATAAACGGGCTCTTCCCCTTAGTATTGGCTTTGTAATCTACTTGTATCACTATCTGTCAGTTTACTCTCTATCATTTTTATCACAGACTTGGTGTAACTATGAGTGCAAATTTATCTCACACCCGCAACAATACGCTTACTGCGCAACACCACTCTTACTGCGAGTGCAAAAACAACTCACACCAGGTGCAAAACCATTTCGCACTACTGCGGTATCCATTGGATCAAGCACCAATTAGATTAGATATAGATAGTGTATTAGAATTAGTATAAATAGACCAATATTTTGTATTGAATAATAAACAGTTCAGTTCTTTAGCTTCTCCTTCTCTTAACTTTAGCTTTTCCCTTTCCTATCAAGAGGATTGTCTTTTGTGGCTCCAGACGTAATAATCCCTGGTTGTTGAGCTCCCACACTTGTATTTCATCTCTTTGCTTAATACTTAGCATTTCATCTACATTTATCAGCTTTTCTTATACTATCCATCCTATTAAACGGGATTCGGAACTCTTACACAAACTAAGACGTTACAGTGTTATATCTTCGCATCATACAGCATGACCGACTTTAACAAATGACTAACGCTATATGCAGGCTTCGAAGATTATGGTAACGATATCAATGCAGTACTTTGAAAAGACAGTCATTTACGTTTTCGCATGAGCATCATTTGCACTGTTGAGGATAACGCACCATACGACGCTTTCCATGGTTTGTAAAGAGCAAACGAAGAACTTGCTTTTTTGAAGGTATGGAAATTTTGCTTGACTTAATTTGCCGGTAATGTTAATGCACTGATTTATGGACCGCTATTAGGACGAAGCCGCTTCTGTGCTAAAGTATAGACAAGCTGCTATTGATAAGCTTGAAATGGTTATAACGCAGCTGTAACTGTGCCATACAATTTGGAAGCGTGTTATGGCCAGATCGGTTTGATCCAAATGTGGAAACGCAAGTTGGAACATGCTAAGTCTTGGCAAAGAGAACAAGTGAAACAATTGGCCGTAATTCTTGATTCTACTGAGGCTAACCCAGAATCCTTGTCGCTGCTTCGTAATGCTGCTGGTATGGAGGAAGAAGATTTGGAGGAAGAAGATGAGGAGACCAATTTGGAGGTGTTAGACCCTACAAAGATAGCCGATGACATCGAAGACGAGGAATGGGAAGACGATCCAACTCCGTTTGGAGAGGGGATGCCGGTTGATACTGCACCAACCTCGTCCGCTCAGTAAACACAACTCGCAACTTTTTTTCTATTTGCTTACGATAAACAAGAATATGGATATGTAACAATAGTGCTATGATTTAGCTCAAATGCTATGTATGCTAACAAGCATTATATTTAGTTGGTTTTCTGTCACAATCAAACTCATTGGGGATCACATCTAGCAATCGGCCATATTTGCGTCAGCGGAGGTAAAGTCTAACTTAGCTACCGGTTACTATATGATATACAAGAGGGAATCTGAATCCTGGTTTAAAATGAGGTTAGCCAGCTCTTTTTACTAGAATCTATATGCTCGGTGATTAACCGATGAAGGGAAAAGCTAAGTGCAGTACTTCTTATATGCATCACCTTTTTTACTTGATAAATAAATGTGAACAATGTGTTACTACTTCGGTTATGCTTTCTTCAATGCTGATTATTGTAAGGGATTAAGCTATTAAAATCAATACTTCCTTTTGATATGTTGAAAAGCCTTAATGGAAGGATTTGTATCATTGATGTAACTTAATAATTTGCCGAGTAGATCATCAAACAAGTATTGTCTATGTGAGCATGAGCAAACATTATTATTAAAAGTCTTCGTACTCTACTTCATGTTGATCATCTTCACTAACACTACTATGGCCGCTTCCACCTTCAGATCTGCTATGAGCTGTTTCCTCGCCTACATCTTCCTCTTCTTCTTCGTATCGACGTCCTCTGAGTTTTTTATTACCGGTGGGCCCAATGCGCAACAGCACTGGTTCCAAATCGTTTTCGAGAAGGAACCTCCATTCATCGGGTTTTGGGACGTTTTTCTTAAAGAGGCCCCTCTCTTCATCTTCATCGTCGGTGATCGTCCTGAGATTGATAATGCTCTCGCAGCTATGGCTTGAGCGCAACTGAAAAGGGTTTCCAACCCAACAGAAAGCTCTAAATTTAGGCCCATGGTCAGCAAGAAATCGAGGGCAAGTTGTTTTCAAAGCGTCTCTGACAGCAGCATTCACATCCATGATCTTGGACACAGAGAGCTGTTCGTATTCCTTCTCTGCTTCTTGCATAAAAATGTTGTCGAAAAATTGGTTCTTTGTCAGATCCAAAACAGTGCGACCTTCTGCTGCGCACAAAGAGTAGACGCAATATTTCCAGGAGGATCTGAACTTGCTTTGATACTCTTGGATTGTACAATGGAATTCAATTCGCTCAATAGCAACTTCAACAGCATCGAGTAGCTTTAAATAAGCTCGTTGTCGTTGGAATTCGCCCATCACCAGCAGCTCTATGAGCATTTTTGAAGCAGCGGCATCTCGTCGTTGTATCGTCTTTCTGGCCTTGTCAGTGGGAGCATACTTCTTTGAGTTCTCCCATTTTGTGTGCCTTTGCCTTTTTGCTGACACTGTTGATGGCGGACCTGGATGCTTTTTTTCAAGCTTCATTCCATGGCACTTTGTCGTGTGCTTTCTGAAGGCGTCTTCAGTGGCATAGTGCTTGGAATGCTTGATGCAATAGTTTTGCAAAGGAAAGTTGATAGGGCGGAATTTGTCAGAGTACCATGTCAAAGTTGGTGTTCTAGGGGTCATGGACGCGCGACGTGGTCTACCCTGCTAAGGTGGCGGAGGAAGGGTTGGAGTGATGAAGCTAGTGTCGTTAAAGGAGTATTTTTCGCTGTGTCATGGTTAGTTTGCTTAATACGATGAAGAATGTGATATAACTACGGTGCCGTTTTCTAGAAAACATACGCAGAAGACTCGGGTATGGTTTGATTTTTAGCAAAAACGATTTTACAGGTGAAAAAGGGTAAGGGACATACACGACACCAAAAAAAAGGCTTTTCTTTGTTGCTACTCTTGAGCCATCTCCGAATGAACCTACACGATAATCATAGCCTTTTATAGCTGGTAAAGAACCTGATTAGCACCCAGTTAAGAATATAGTATCTATTGCGGTAAGTGGCGAAAAGGGCGAAGTGGTTTTCGATATACCAACCGTTGTCAGCATCATATTATGCAACCTAATCTGCCAGGCTAGATTACTGTAACGACGAAGATGCATGTGGCTGTTGGACAGCCTAGGTCCCACAACCACAGTAGAATAATCTGTCTGGGTTGCGCATCTGTGACGAACCTGTTTGGCTGGGTTGCGCAACTACAGTCAGAACATCTGTCTGAGTTGCACATCTGTGACAGACCCGTTTGGCTGGGTTGCACATCTGTGACAGACCTGTCTGGCTGGGTTGCGCAACTCTGACTGAACCATCCGTATGGGTTGCAGATCCGTCTGTCTACATTGCGTACCTGCAGATGCATCCAATTGTGCAAACTAATTAATATTATGGCTATGTACTATCTATTTCTCTCTTCCACATAGTTGAATGAGCATAATGCATTACTTTTATTTTTATTTATCAAACATAACAGATAATAACGTAATAATAGGTTGTGTACGATAATACAAGGCACGATATTTTATATCTCACGAGGAAGTAAAGACTAAGCGTTAAAAGCGATCTGCAAAGCAACTTTCAAAATTTTAGTTCGTACCGTTGTTTGCTGACTTGAATGATAAATGAAGCTTGAAATGAGAAGGTTAAGTTACCCGACACTCTTCTCAAGATTAAAGTAAATGCATCTGTATAGCTTTTTCCCACTGCAAATAAGTATATACAGCTTTAAAAATGTATCTAAAAAATATATGATTAACAATACTTTCTCTACAGTAAAGCCGTTCCAGTTCAGAATAATTAAGCTATAATTGCTAAAAGTTTTTCTTATTAGATAGCTTCTTCAAGTACAGTACTGCTAAAAATACGACCATCACTTTTTATATAACTATCCAACAGACCCAGACAAAGATAAACATTATTACAATGTAAGTGATCATTTCTGATTGTTTCATTGATGGAGTTATCTATTATATTTAACGTAAGCTAGGCTCCTAGCAACCAAGCCAGATGGGTCTGTTATGGATACACAAACTAGGCGGATGGTTCTGCTGTGGTTGCGCACCTCAGACGGATGGTTCAGTCAGAGTTGCGCAACCCAGCCAGATGGATCTGTCACAAATGCGCAACGCAGACGGATGGTTCTGCTATAGTTGCGCAACCCAGCCAGATAGGTCTGTCACAGATGTGCAACTCAGATGGATGGTTCTGCTGTAGTTGTATAACGCAAACAGATGGATCTGTTATAGTTGCATTTATATAAACGAGTCAGACACATTGATGCAGCTGTGTATGAGTAAATGCAACAACTTGTTTCTAGGACTCTAAATTTGAGCAATGCATCGTGTTAAGACAGAAACGGTTGGTCAAGGTGCTGGTTTTATTCCTGACAGGTATTGCTAAACGGGTGTGGGGCTGGGCCCATTCTCAATATGATAGTATATAATAATATTGATTGATAGTAAAGACAAAAATGTACACTGTACAGTGACTGATCTTCTCAAATGGCCTATATAGGCAATCAAAGCATTGGCCAGTTCTATGTTTTCTTCATGTTTAAAAAGATGAAGAAACTCTTTGTATCTCGGTTGTGAAATAATCTTATCGATACAGAATGAGATACACACACAGTTTAAAATGGTCAAACCGTTGGTTCACAGTTCAGGATACAGATCCCTTCTGGAAAGGTTTTATTTGTCGCTACGTCGCAACTGTGGATCAAAGATACTGGGTTTAACAGTCGAGTGCCTAGTTATCCTAGCTGAACTATTTAAGGTGATTAAAGCATTAATGCCCATAATTTTAGTTATTATTGTTTATTCGATTTCGTTTAAGCATGAGTATAGGAGTTTTGCCAGTTTAGCGTCGCCTTTTATTTTACACAGTTCTCGTTCTTATTGGGAGTGATCTCATGTACAGACAATACAGGCAACAGCTGCTCTTGTTTACTTCTAAGTGCCAGGTGAAGGTCCCATATTAAAAAGATACTCGTTTTTCCATCAGCTTGGTCTTGTTCTAATTTCACGTCTGTTGCAGTAGAGAAAATGGAACGAACTGTTGCTGTAACATTTCTTATACAAACAATTGAGAGGCACCAGAGTTGGTCTTTCATAAAATGCAAATGAAGGAGCTATAATTAGCACTATATATCTGGAAGCTACCCAGTGTTATCAGGTTCATCTTTGAACACGTTGAATAGGTATTGTAGCGTCTTCGCTTATATAACACTGGGAAAAACGTTGTGTGTTAAACTTTTAAAAATGCTTGAATATTAGCTAATATTCAACTAGTATTCGACTGATATTAAGAGTCATAAATCCCGAAAACGAGGAAGGAAGAAGATATAAGTAAAAGTGGATAAAACTGATGGATATGCTTAATTATCAGTTAAAATAGAAAGGATAAGTGTGGGAATTCAACAACTACACACCCAGAGGAAACAAATCCTTTTTTGTATATAAATATTGATAAACTTTAAGAAACCATGATTTTATTGGACACAATTTCGGCCTGTTTTCAAAGGAGGTGAGCAGCCTCCTCCAAATCAATCTGGGAGACTTTTTCGGTGTGTCTTTGTTTGCATTTCTGGTACGAAAAAATGTTTTGTGCACCCTCACCATCCGTTTTCAGGTCTGGCCCCAAACTCTCTCGCATATTTTTAACACCCCCTCCTCGAAGTGAGCACCCACCACGCACACGATCTGTCCAATCACAATTGGTTTCTGCTAATTAAGCTGCCAGTTTTACAATGTCTTTGTAATGAAAATGTAATTACGCAATCACAGAGAAATAATCTGTTTGTAGTTGTAACAACACTTTACTGAAGAGGCATAAAATATATTAATTAACATTGAATAAAAACTGGCATATAAGAAAAGAAGCGAAAGACAAAAAATAGGATTTAGAGGGGCATAGAAAACGGACATAAGAATCATACAGAAAGAATATAAAAGGTGGTCATAAAACGCATAGAAAAATCATCTAGAAAGAATATAAAAGAGGTTCGTTAAATGCATAGAAGAATAATCAACAAAGGGTATAGGAAAGAGACAAAGGTAGCGTATTAAGAAGAGAAATGATATAAAGAAAAGATTGAAGGAATGGGTTTAGTAAACGATTTTCTCAAAGTTGTATGTCATGTTTGAGCCACTAGTGAGTCCCAAACTTCGACGTATTGACGCTCAACGAGTCTCTCTGTGGCGCTCTCGTTATTGGACTTTGTGACATGTCGAAAACTTCGACAACAAGATCTTCGTCAGTGCTATTAAGGACGAAATCATCGTGAGGTAACCGCACGACGATAAAATTGCTTGCGCTGTCTTGAACGCAGCAATCAAAAATGCTTCGACTTTGCATTGACACAGCTTCACCAGCAGCCAGAACAAAATCGTAAGCTTGAACATAGTACTCGTCGCCTTGTTTCGCCGTGATGACACCTAGTGTCAATCTACTCGTCTTGGAAGATGTACGGCGGTTATAGAATAAGGCAGCTAGGCCAACCTTAAGCTTCTTACTGCTGTTTGTGTTGTCTGCCAGAACGAGCCCACTTTGTACCAACGCAGGATCATACGAAGTGATAACACCTGGACGGCAGGTTTCCCAAACTCCTGAAAAACAATCGACGAAACGACCACCTTCACATATATGACGTAGCATATATTCTTCTGCAAATTTCCTAGCCAAATCTCGTCCACCGTTCTGTATATTGGTGTGGCATAGAAAGAAAACGACACTTGGTGCAGCTTAATTGTGTATTAAAATTGTGACGGTGATGAATAAGGGGGTATATAAATGACTTTTTCCATGATTCTCACGTTTTCTCTCTCTTTCACATTTTCTTTGGCTAAAATACGGTAAGTCTCAACGCGTCGTACTACTGAAAGAGGTCCTTGTCCTCATTTTGTGACCTTTCGCTCAAGTCAATCTTACTCAATTGTCACCTGTTTACTTCTTGTGTATCTAGCTCTTTTACATTTATCCCATGTTAAGGTAATGGACGAAGTTGGTATGTGTATTATTCCTAGGATGCCTTTTCTAATCAACTGTTTATACCATACAGAGCAATAGCTGATACTTGCCGTCTTATGTAGTCTGATAAGTGAGGTAAGCATACCCATTCCCTCCTTCATAATATCTACCTTCGTCGTGACCTGTATCCTAGCTAGAAGTATGACAGTAATAGTAGTAGTAGTAGTAGTCGCGTCCTTAGTTCTATTTCTCTTTCTACTGTGTACTTTTTTCAAATGTCGTTTTTACAAATAAAAAATTTTTATTCTGAACTGGAAAATCTGAACGCCCTCTTGCTTGCTTGCTTGTTTGTTTACGCCTATTGAAACGATCGTTGAAGCTTTCTCTCGATCCCCCAATATGCATAACCCCCACTCCCCCCACCTTATTAGATGCTCAACCGAAAAAGGCAATTTGTTGAATCCTTCATTGTTTATAAACAAATCTGCACAAAAAACCTCTGGGTGTGTAGGAATTACTACTTGTGAAAATCATAAAAGATAAACCTTTCGTTAAGATAAAAAGGTAACGTTTAATGAAAAAGATACTAAAGAACTGCACTATTTACCTATTTATAAAGTACATACAGTAATACAGTAGTGACTATTATCTTACGAGGAAAACCCAATCTGATTGCATCTTGCTAATTATTGTTGCAGCAGTGTGTGTCAATCAGATTATAGCAGTGCTTGTGCATGGAGCAGCATTTGCTCTTGAAGCAGTTCACAAATCTATTAAGTAAAGATCGAAATCTATTACAATGATTATAATAAAGATTTGAGCTTACGCAAATAGATGACAACAGGAGATAGTTTATTTGTATTGTATGATAAACAAATAATTGAGTTATTTGATAGTGGGGGACAGCAGTATGATGCTGGTAAGCTATAGTGTGACATTTGAGTGTGAGAGCAAATGTACGTATGTACTTTATAAATCAAGCGTACGAATCTTTCTATATAAATCGTTGACTCTATGTATCATACCGTCAGCGTAGACAGCTAGTAATACTGTATGTAAGCTACAGAGCGATTTGATCTTTTCTTCTAGGCGCAACCAGTAAAAATACTTCTCATACCCTAAAAGTGATTGCAAACCATTTTAAATCTTCTATAGATGCGCCTTGAGCTCGTCTTTACGAAGTTGCTGTTTTGCTTAATATGCATGTACGAGCTTAAGCCTTAAAGCAATATACAGCCGCCCAAAATAAACAAAGAAATACAGGAGCAACAAGAGCGTGTATGCTGTTTAACGGGGGAAGCCAAGAATGGCATGGACGACGATCGAGCATTTCAAAACGTCGCCAGACAAAAATGCTCTTAGTATCACTGATTGATTTTGAAGACGTCAGTAGTTTCATAGTAGTTGCAGCAGGGAAATGAAGCTGCAGAAATATATCGATGTCTTATAACAATGAGAGATTTGAGACTGTACCATAACCATAGATAGCTATACCCCGATCTCTTTGCTCGTTTTACTTATCATATAGTAATATAAACCCACGAAATAGATAGGACGTATATAGCTTCAGATATCCTTTAGGAAGAAGGTGCAAGTACAATTGTGGTATTAAAGTACGTCACTCGAGACATATACAAACCAAAAATAATAACTCATATTCCACTAGATAAAGTTTTTTGCTAGCTGCTATTATACCATTGCTTACCGCTTAATTATATATTTTAACCTACCAGAGAAACGCCATACATTGGAGTCTAAGTATTACTGTAATACCATACTCTCACAAAAACCTTCATAGCGTCTACATAAAACCAATAGAAAATGCAACCTATTGATCCGGATTGTCAGTCGTAAATATGTAGTATATATATTAAGTGATCTTGAAAGGATTTTCCTTATTCCTGCTGCTGCTGTTGTTGCTGTCTTGGTGCTAGCACGAATCGAATGTTGTTCAAACATCCGGCAAGCTCAAATTTCGCATGTCGAGACAAACGAGAAGGATGATCGCGCGGAATATCCGGCCAGCCTTCCATGACAATATCCTCATACATCCATTCATCCTTCCAGGGCATATGGGCATTGTCATCGATATGAATGCCATAAAATTGCTGTACAGCTTGCCCTAAGGTTTTAGAAGATGATAGATACATTATTAAATGTCTCATGGTATTGATGCATACGATAAAACTTACTATATAGACCAAATATGGTATCCCACATATCTTTCTCGTTACGATGCTGATTTTTTTAGAGATAGATCTATCAGCAGCTGCAACAAGAGATGGCGCAGGCACACTGTGATTCGTGGCAGTGGTGGTGGTGGTAGACGGAATAATAGTGGTAGTGGCAGTAGTAGTCGCAGAAGAACTTGGTGTAGCGAAAGATGGAACAGAGGCAACATTCGTATCAACGGCATTGTGTGCTATTTGCGCTGATCAGCTAATGCATAAGTACTGAATTGTAGCAGTTTAAGTCATACAGTCTTCGGCGTACCTCAGTTATAAGTGATCATTTCATGTTGGAAATCGTCAATGAACGACTGGCTGGTAAGTTCGACTTGACCATGCTGCATCAGCTTATAGAAATGGCCTCCGCCAACTAAAAGTTTCAATTAGATGGTTTCCTTCACATATCTTTAAGAAGCTGTAATACCAAAGCCATAGCCATCCTTATAAGGCTTGATGACGCCGTCCGTTTTGCTTGGTACAAGAAAGCAAATGCTTTCTATACCACATTCATCCCTCAGCATGGTGAGGTTTTTTCAAGAGCAGGTATGAGGCGATGGTACCTGTCTCGCATGCTCTTCTGTGTACCAATCATCTCCCCATTCAACATTTGTGCCTTGTCTTCATACAGTTTCCTGGCACCTTTATCCATCTCCCTCCAAATTGCCCCTCTGCGCGCCTGGATGTTTCCGATTGATCTTTTGTTAATTTCAATTCTGCTTTTTCTAAAACATAGTTTCACGTCATAAAAGGGTGTTCAGCGTTCTTAGTTGTACATAAGAGATAGAGGATAATAAACTAACCATCAGAATCAAAAGGGCGTTTCTGAAAGATGTTGAAGCCAGAAAGACCGCCAGTATTTTTGCGAATGAATGGTGGTTTCAAGTGCTTCAGAGCGTCTACAGGTGCGTTGTACCTCTCGGCAATACGAGCAAGGCGTTCCTAATACTCCTTCTCCATTGCCTTGTTCAAAGCGCGGACTTCACCCATCATCGTAGCTTCTCTGTTACGTCGGTGGCATCAGTAGTAAGTGTAACAGCCGCAGAAGATATATCACTGGGCAAGGGGTGTCCATCAAATGAAATGCCTTCAAACGATCAATTTCGTTCAAAAGCGCGTTTAGTTGAACAGCCACCTCATCATGTTCGCAAATAATTGACTGAATGTTCTCGTCTTCTGCAATCACTTTGCTTCCTCGTCACTTCTCGCTCCTTCTTCTTGCATAAGTGCTTCTGTAGCTTTCTCATATTTTTCAATAAGTGTTTGTCGTTGTGATGTAGCATAGTTATTTTGATGTAGGATGAGACTATGATTTGGGAAATATGAGTAATGATTCCTTGTTTATTCAAAACCCGAAGGCTTGTGGTTACTTGCGGTTACTTGCGGTTTTAATCACAACCTGAAGCTCAGCAACCGCAACACGCAGTTTTCGACTGTTGAGGTCGGGCAGGGTGGTATTCTTAGCTGCGAGGGATGTGATCATTTTGAAAAATAAGAGAAGCACTTGAGATTCAGATTATATATATTTCAGCTCACTATTTTTTATTTTATTTGGTGACCCGCGACTTTAACTTTATGCTTCTTTTAACAGGACCCGTCCCTTATATTTCTATCCATCCTTATTTTCCAGTGTTGACGAATTTCGCCAACCGCAATTTTCGCCAAGTGGCGAGAATACCTTTTTCGCCTTAGCAAAAAATAGTGCTTCATAATTTTCGCCTAGCGAAAATTGGCGAAAATTGCGGGTAATTCCCCGCTACATTTTTTTTCCGATTGATTATTGTGTGCCACCCCAATAAGCAGTTAAATTAATAAATTTCATCTTCAAAAGTAAAATGGTTTACTCCTTCGATAATAAAGAAAAGAAAAGATTACAAGATAAATATATTAAACGGTCAATGTGAGGTTCTTATTAGTCAGGTCTTCATTGACTCGTGCCAAAAGCATGCTGCAGATTGATGTTTATGACAAATCTGCTGCGCAGCTGTTGCGCAGCTGCTAAGTAGTTTCTGTGCGACAGCGAAATAACTGTCCTCTTCCTTCTAAATTCAATAACAGCTTATCTTCGAAATACAAATTTATCGACTATGCTGCACTCATTACTTCATAGCTCGTCCAAAAGTTATGCTGCGGAATGATGACGATGACGAACTTGTCGCGCAGCTGCTAAGCAGTCGCCTTCTTCATTATACAACAGTTCATTTTCTTGAGGCAATAGTTTCGCAGCACACGACCTAAGAAAAAGTATAAATATGGCCAGTTCTCTGAGCTAGATACTTCATTAACATTTTATATCTACACTTTCTCGTCGATCTACATTATCCTCTCTCATGCAATCCGAAGAAAACTTATCAACAACTGCTGGTTCCAAGCGTTCTTATGTATTGGTGGAAAGGTCCAACCAAGGTTCCGGTGCTGGTCGCAGACGACATCCTACCAAGCAGTTTTTCAAGCTCTACGATCGATACTTGGACAATAAAAAATGCAGGGATGGTGAGGCACAATGTCTTGCATGCATTCGAGTACTCGGTGACTATATGCAAGGAGTTAGGGATAAAAATGTCGCTTTACTTGAGCATCTCAAGGTAAAATAGAAAGATATGCATGAATTGTAGCTTAAATGTAGCCTCAAAATCTTGATAATAGAGCTAATACTTTTCTTTCAAAAAAAAAGGGTTGCATCAATCTGAATTCAGATGAAAGAATTATGATACAGGCCTCAGGTGCTTTCACGTGGGTAGATAATGAAGATATACTTCCTGAAGATTCGGTTAGTCAAGTATCTGGTCTCAGTCAAACATCAAATACAAGACGTAAACTCGCGCAAGCATCAATCTCGAAATATGGTGTCGTCGAAAACAGCTTGTGGGTTCAGCGAGCACAGGACAAGGCATTGCGTGCTACTGTGTCGGCCAATCTTCCATTCCGTTGGATCGAAAACCCAGAGGTCATCGAATACTTGCTCCATTTGAATGATCGCGCTTTGGTAATAAGAAGATGCAATGTTATTATACTTTATATTTGTATGATGTAATAAGATGTAACTAACTAGTACGGCCTTCTTCTAGGCAAATGGAGCCATACCTAAAAGGCAAAACCTATCAACCAAAATTCTTTCACGTGTTGCCGATTCTGCAAATGGACAACTCATTGCCGAGGCTCAAGATATACAAGGCGTAACTCTAACATGTGACGGATGGCGAAATGTCTCCAAGGAGTCGATACTTGGCATAGTCCTCAACACCTCAAGTGGGAGCAGCGTCATTTGGGACGCAAAAGACATCTCAGGAGAGCAAGCAAGGACGCCGGATGTTATTCAAAAATTGGAGACGTTACTTTTCGACGAGAGTGAGCGGATCAAGAGGCACAACATCACGGTCATCGCGGTTGTTACTGATTCAGCGAGTGCCTATGCTGCTGCCCGTTCACAGCTACGTCGCAAGCATCAACAGATTATATGGTTGCCATGCTTTGCCCACCAGATGAATCTCTGCATAGCCGATATGTTGAAGGCATTCCCGGACTTGAATTCTTGCATGCAGCAAGCTGTCAAACTCATCGAAACATTCAATCGTTCAACATATTTGACACGAAAACTCCGTGACCATTAAGATGGTACCCCAAATAAGTGCTGCGTTAGTCTTCGTCAACCTGCAACAACACGATGGAACAGTTACTTCGATGCTTTGAAAAACTTGCTTGATACGAAGGATTCATTGCAGGTAAAGCGATCAATATTATGGATTTTAAATATACGTGTACAATGGTTAGCACTCATACTTATTGTTTTGTCTTGACTTAGCTCGTCGTTTTGAATTCTGGATCTGATGCAGGTGCCAAAATACCAGACGAAGTTGCAAACAACATTCGCTCCATGGCCTTCTGGGAAGATATCGATGGAATCAAGGCAATGCTCGAACCATTTGCGTTGTGCCTAGATGTTCTCCAACGAGATAATGCCAAGCTATACTACATTGTCACTCAGTTCGCGAAGCTACTCCCCATGTTTACGACTGATAAGATCGACTTTGTGCGTAGAAGACTGCCAGACGATGCTGTCCAAGTATTTGTCAAGCGACTGGAAAAAAGATGGTATCAATGGGAGCAACCGCTACTGATTCTGGCCATGTATCTACATCCAACGTACCGTTTGGATTACATCAACCGCTATCTGGAACCTGTACATCCAGAAGCATGCAACAGACGGGGCATCACGTCAAGAATCATTACCGAGTGGGCCCAAATGTACTACAATAAATGGACAGGAAACGAGGCCGAAACCATGCTTTTACAAGTCATGAAGTACGACGATAGGGATTGGCCGCTCGATGATGAAGGCTACATTGGATCCGGTCGCAACCCGGACAAGTTTTGGAAAATGGTGGCTGCCAACGACGAGTCGTGCAAAGAACTTGCTTTTGTGGCGCAACGCTTGCTGGCGATTGGTGTGAACTCGGCCTCGTGCGAGAGATTGTTCAGCGACATGGGGTACATCCATAGCACTAGGAGAAACTGGCTTCATTGGCAAAAAGTTCTTCACATTGCCCAAGTTTGTGCCACACTCAAGAAGAAGCACGCCAAGGATAAAGGCAAAGCACCAGCACTTCCCGCACTAGCAAGACTTGATAGCGTTGAAAGCCAAGGCGCCGAGGACGACGAACGTTACATGGAGGAAGAAGACCGGAACCTCCAGAGTGAAGAAGAGGCCGATATGACTCCACAGCAGTGGAATGCTCTTGTTAATGAGTGGTTCTTGGATCTTGACGGTGAAGTTGACGACGAAACAGCTGAAACTCCTGACATACAAGTGCACCCAGCAGAAAACCAATCTTATAAATACAAATTGTCAACACTTTTCACCCCCTCCCTTCAACAGATTTAGATTTTCATATGTATTTCCAAATAAAGTAATTGATTTTTCGCCTCTAATTTTCGCCTATTTTCGCCTTAACGAAAAACCCAAAAGATTTTTCGCCTGGCGAAAAATCAACGCTGTTATTTTCCATATTATAATCTCTCAAGTACTTATGCTACCTCCCCTGTGCAGTTTATATTATTCTCTATTGTCCTTTTTCCCTCGTTACCCTCACCTTGTTACTATGACCCTGTAATTTCATGGCCCCTCTTATTTTCTGTTATACTCCCTCTCTTATGTTTCCATCCATCGTATAGACATTGCTATATCTATTTCCCTATTTTTCCATCTTCTACTCTGTCCAAATTACCTAGTAGAGATCATTGTCCTCTGTGCCTGGCGTCGTTCTCAGCCAAGCGCACCCAGTTGACAAGGTGTATAAAAGGGGATTAACCCCATGATAAAATAAAGATTAAGCGTTTTCGGACATATATTCGTGGAATGACAATTGACACCGCAAGTGGAACTTGCCGTTATTGTAATCGTGTTTCTGTGTATTTATATTTCGCGTTCCTCATATCCCTGACTCCATTAATTTTCTGAGTTCTGTTTATTTGTATTCTACTGCATATCAACCCTATTCTTCTGAACCCTTTCTATCTTGCCCCCTTTTTTTATACTACCTTTTATCCTTTTCCAAACACCACACATGTCAGTTTTGACACATTGTGTGTGCGGTTTTCAGGCCTTTCCCCTTGACAGACACACTAGAGTTAAAACCTGATTTCAGAGTGCTTTCAGTGTGCTTTTAGTGAGAATTTTCTTTCAGAGCGCTTTCAGTGTACTTTCAGAGCTGTGATGCAGTAAATAGATAAAATTGGCTCCCCTACTTAAATCCTTCGGTTACTGCCTGATATAGGAACCCGGGGGTTTTCTAGTGTTCAAGTGACGTTACACAGATGCAATTTAGCACCATAGTAGCCAAGACGTTAGGCTATTTAGCGGTGAAATGTTTGTGGCTTAGTGGTAATTATTCGAGGAGCAATTGAAGTTTGAAGTAGGGTAAATGATTTTCTATACTTTTTACTGCTTATATGTCAATAGCTAATACAAAGAAAGAATCTATGCAGGCTATTCAATATTTTATTAATTTTCTTATTTTTAATTTATTTTATATATTTAGTTATTAAGTTTTATTTTTAAATAATAGATAATGATCAATATAATTAGGGGTGGTCAGAGAAAATCTTTGATTTTCGATGACGTGGGTAGCTGGTCATCGAGACAGTAGTCGAGACCCTAGAATAATGGTAGTTATTCCAAACATTTGTCTACAAATGCCTCATAAACAGTGTTCTTCTATGAAAGAAAACACAGCATGCACTATATATAGTATATAAGTAGTATATATATATATAAGGAAATCTGTGTAACGTGAAAATACCTGATATAGTAAAATTGATGTCACTGAATCCCATAAAAGGTACGTCGGAGTTTCAAACATATACTAAAAAAGGAGAAATGGGCTGAAAAACAACTTGAGCATAGAGAGTAACTGTTATTATTTGATGAAATTAAATGCTTTTATTTTTCGCATATAGAGTATTATTTTGGCTATCTACTGACTT